TTGTTTTCGGATCCGAACAGAAGACTGAAATAAATTTCTAAAAAAGTGTTTTTTTGTGTTTTGGCGCTGCGATCTTAGTTATAAAGCTACGAATTAAACCAACGCCTCCTAAATACATCAATACAGGTGGCATTGATTGAACACCGAACAATTTTTTAGCAAAATACAAGATAATTTTCTTTCACAACATTGGCAACACTGAGGTTGACATCTTAAGTGACCAATTGAATTACTAATGCGCTGCAGACTGATTTCAATTTAGATTTGAATAACGTATTTTTAAATTTGCAAAAACTTACGAACAGCCTCAGAACGTATTAAACTAAATGCCGATTTTCAAATGAAGTGATACACAACTTATGTTTATTAAAATTAACTAATTGCTTATTCACAGAAACATACTTAATAGTCGCCTTTTAATGTTAGATTTTGCATGCAACGCTAGATAGGCATACAAAACAATTAATAGAGCAATTGCAGAAGTAGAAGTGAACACAAATAAGTTTGTGAAGTTGCAATCAGTTCAAAACTAAGGGGGGAAAAATGTGGAAGTGTTAAGGAAATCCAGGAGAAAATAGACTGTAGTTGTAGATGTTCCGGCAGAATTTCCAGAACTAAGTGGAAATAATCTTAATTTGTGCATTTAGCATTTGTGCTAATGTAAATGTGCTATGACCATTTTTGTGCATATTACCAAAAAAGCTTAAAATGTACCTGTACTTAAATACAACTATTAGCATCAAAACCTGCAAGTATTTGTAACGGCATTTAATTTTTTTTAAATTGCAATAAGACTAGTTCATATCTCTTATGGAATAACACAAGTGTCGGGAACTTTTGAACGGGAGTATGACATGACCGGCTATTACGATTCATTGGTAAGTCTAGAACCTGATACTGAAAGAACATATTTCAACCAAGCTGGTCATGAAAGAAATTTTCATCCACGAAACTATTTTTAAAACGGTTTACAGCGTTAGTGACGCCACATTTTACTAGTTACCAGTTATTTGAACAAAGCTAGGCATGAGCGAAATGAAGTATGAAATAAATTTTCAACACATGAAAATACTTTTAGAACAGCATACAACGTCGGCGAAGCCATATTCAACTAGCCTTCAATATTACAGTTGTAAGAAGAAGACACACAAAAATTGCTCTTTTTCAATTTTCAAAAAATCTGGAAATTCAACGAACGTGAGACTTGCACAGATCTTTTAAGCGACCTTTATCCGAGGACAAAGTTTAATCAAGAGATTAAAATTTTAAAGATAATTTTAAAAATGTTTTTGAGTCTTGATGTTAAGTACCTTAAAATTCAAAATATCCGTTTGAAACACCCAAAGCCTGGACATTTTTCAGAACTGTCGGAGAATATTAATTTTGGATAAAATCGACTGAACAATTTAGGAGCTAGTGTTGACCACGGACAGGCAGACGTTTTGCCATCGATCGATTTTTCGATATCAAGGACCCACAAAACATGGATTCTGGCTAAAGTACGTGTTAGAGTTAGTAATTTACTATAGCAATAACATATATCCAGTGTTCCATTACTAGGGCTCGGCAATAAGTCTTTCTGCCGAAAGAACCCCTTTCCCGGCGCAGAACTCTCTCTTCTTACGTAGTAAGTTCGTAAAGAAATTGCGCTCACTGCAAATGAAGAAATTTTAACCTGTATCGTATCTCCATAGACGAAACTCGAACGGGAAGAAAAACCAAAATAATATTTTTTATATTATAAACATAAGACATTATTATAAATTGAATCTTTGATGTATTCTTCATTATATTACATTAAAGATAATATCAATAGTGTGTATCAGAAGTACTCACCAGGCTCAACTGTAGAACCAGTACCACAAGCAGCGTCTTGGCCTCCATTGTAGAATCTGTTAGTTAACTGATGAGGGGACGTATATTTGAGGACATTTTCCACCTTATCAATTCACAATTATCAATATTATCTTAAAACACTTGACCCTGAGGCATAATGACACGTTCAAAATATTAATCAAATATTAATTATAGGCATACAAATTGTAATATTAAATACATTTATGTAACTGCAGAAATTATATACTCCGTTACCCAATGCCGTTTCAAGAGTTAGCATTTCGTGCACTCAATTTACATTACTAATTTTCTATGCGCACAGTAACCGAAAGAAGACCATGCAACTTCCGGTGACGTGAGTGGTGTTTATGGTTTCGTTGTATTAAGGAATTCGGGGAGAATCCAACAACAATGAAACAGTTTCTATTTTACTGAAAGTGCAAATATTTTATTGTGTTATGACGCCTACACTCATACTGTGCGTTCCGAATGCTTTCTTCTCATATTCCGTGCACCGATACTTAATACTGCGCAGTTGACGTCACGCGACTGCCAGGTCCTAAAGAAAAGGCTGCCAATCATTAAACATTTTTTATTCACATTGTGTCAAGGAACAGCCAGTTTTTTGTTATATTCTTGGTGTGTAATTTCGTACAAATTCTATACATCAATTTGAATTTTATGACAAACGTTGTAGGCGCTACAGCGCACTGAAAAACTGACGTTTTAGAGAGAAGAGCAAACTCGCGGTGGCTCTCTCATTTCATTGTTTCACGTCTGCAAACTATTATCATTGAATTGTTGGCATTGTTAAATGCTTAACTACAAGAAGAGAGAAACGTTCGCGGAGGAGCACTGCCAAAAGGACAAGGAATGGTGGAGCCACGTAACTTTCGCGGATGAGAGCAAGGTCAACGTGTGCGAATCTGATGGGGGAACACTTGTGTGGCGAAATCCAAAAGAATAACTTAACTTGATTTGTAACCAGTTGTGTAAGACGGTGGTGGGAGTGTAATGGTGTCGAGGTGCATGGCGGCGAACGGAATTGGTGAACCAGGGCCAGCCGGAAGAGGTGGTACCATGGGTCGGGCTGCCCTCGCCAAAATATTTCAGTTGGTGATTCGTCATAGCTCAATATTATGATTATTATTATTATTATTATCAATAATAATAATAATATAACAAATATCATACTTTATATGCTCTTCTTTGCTACACGTTGGACAATCAATTGCTACCGTCCGTATTTTTCTATTGTAATTTAATTCATGAATAATATAATTATAATAATAATAATTATTATTATTATTACTATATTTATTGATTATATACACAAATGGAATTATTTCTACCTATCTATAACTTGCAATGAGAGCACTTCAATATGGAGTTTTTTTAACCGTTAAAAAATGTATTTGTTTCGGTTGTTAGTACGCGAAGCCCCTCATTCAAGAAACAGGATGCCTATCATCGACTGTTGGAAATTCGACGCGTAAATTATTTTTCTCTTACTCACGCTTGAATGAAACATCATTTTTTTTTGAAATTGCAACTGCTGCCGCGCGTGTCGGCGCAACCATCATTATTTGTTATTAACCCTGCCTAGCTTCGCTACCACCTCTCTTGGCTAATATAGAACTTATACATAACAAACAACACATGTACCCACAAATATTATACTCTTATAACAAATTATTTACACATACCTTCAGACATTTTAATTACCAAAACTCATTCATACTAGCGCGTATACTTTTCCCCTGATTAATAGCCATTTTATGTGTGAAACTTTAAATGTTCCCCCACTGCAACACATACCTTGGCCTGCATATAATTTCAAGTCAATAAAAATATATTTGAAATCGTCACTTCCCTTTTGTTAGTCGCTGTGGCTACCTTAAACATCTCCGCTCACACGTTGCCAACATCCAGAATTTCCATAACCTTTTGTGTCCATTTCATGTTTATACTGCAAAGTTTATTTGAAGAAATTATAATACCACACTTTCATACCTCAACATGTCTTCCTTCTGCCCTCCGTCTTGTACCGAGTCTACAAGCATTTTCCTCTCACGCCTTTCTCCTGCCAGTTCCCCCCAAACTACCGTCTTTTCCCGTTTGTCATTCACTTGCTGACCATATAATTATGATTTCGTTGAAATATCCTTCGCACCTACAGGTATTACCCTTTGTAAATTATTTACACATTTATTCTAATTATTCATCTACATTTTAATGTACTTTCAGGTCTGGTTATTTATTTCAACATGTTTACTTACACAGGTTCTCGGAATGTATTATTCATTTTCTTGCGACGAAAAAGGTATAATTTCTTTCGAATCTTTTGAAAAATCTAATATGTATTTATTTTCGGCCAGTGTAAAATTTATTTTTATTATTTCTTAACACCAGTTGTAATTAAACAGTTCGTCAGATTCGGCGTAAGAAGTCCGGCATTATTCAATATTCAAACTTGGATTCCGATACTTATCGACTAGAGAGTGATAAGGACATAGCCTTTAGCATCCTCAAAAGGGACAAATCCGGTGATTGTGCGCGAGGTCATAGATTGTATGCGCGAAATGAGTATACGCGAAATGAGTATATATGAGTATAGTATGAGGGTCTTGTTCCTGAGTATTTGGGCGTTATTCGTCTGCTCATGACCATTCCAGGATCATCATGCTCAAACTAAAGAAGCTTTTCTGGGCTTCGCCGGGTAAAAAATTACTCGCGTTCGAAGATGCTGCAAAATCGACTCAATCATATAGCGATCTTGCACTCGTACCCTGAGTTAGTTGAAGATCGATTTTGAGAAACTGATAGATGGAAACTGTGAATTCATTTCTAAAGAGTAAAATAAGTATGAGTACAATAATTATTATTTATAAGTTTGGGGAAAGGATTTCGGGAATACAAAAATCGACCTATTAAATTTTTATGATTTATTTATACCCAGGACGATACAATACAATACCTTACGCATTTATTCGTCACAATTTCTATCATTAAGGTGTGCATTGCCCGAGAATACAGCCGGCACTTGCTTCATCGAAATGATAGCCATTCGCACAATGTAATAAGACGAAAGATAAGTCATTGTAGCAGTAATAGAAAGAGCAATTTGTAGCAGGATTAGCGCTTATTCCTGGCCTTTTACACTCAAATGGAGGCGGAATAGTCGCAGCTGTTGTTGTTTCCGTTGTTGTTTCCGTTGTGTCCGTTGTTGTTTCCGTTGGTTTTGGTGTTGGTGGTGGTGTTGTTTCCGGTGTTGTTGTTTCCGGTGTTGTTGTTTCCGGTGTTGTTGCAGCTTGTGTAGTTGTCGTTGATCCACAGCCGGGTTCTTCTGTCCTTTCGCACGTGAGCGTGGTCAGACTGAAGTGGCCGGTGGTGCACTTCCGCCAGAGAGGGTACACAGCGTTGGTGGCTGTGTCCAACAAACACACGTAGTAAAGTCGATCGTTGTTCGGGGCCACGCCAATGGTCCCAGGAGCAGCACAAGGGTTGCTCACAGCCCAGGAACAGGTGTCGCTCGCGGTGATGGCACACACTTTCAGGCAGGCGTCGTAGAATAAACCTGAGGGGCAGGATTGAACTTTACCTTTGCCTATGCCAGTCAAGGAGCTGTCACATGTGTAGTACAAAGAGCAGTCGACGAGACTGGGGTATGTGCCACTGTGCATGCACTGCATATTGTCGATGGAGGGGCAGTTGTCGAGGGAGCCGGTGGTGCAGGTGTTGTTTAAGCATACCTGAAACAAAAGTATACTTTATTGCATCGCTCCACCTACTTTAAAAAAACACCGTCTTGGTCATTGGATAAGGATGGCATAAAAAGATACGAAATGTAAGACAAATGAATTTTATAATCAGTTGTGGCGATAAGACTTTGTTTCAACATATTATTAGGCAAACAATTAAGAGTATTAATGTCTTCTTCTAAATTATTTTGTGTGATAATACGTTTCTGATAGAGCATTTTTAAGAAACAAAAAAGGTACTGTTTTTTTGGTAGTAAACAAAACAGTTTTTTCACTCACCACAATTCCTCCTTTTCTATATCATTCGCAATCTTTCTACATGCAGAACCACTACTTTTGCCATTCAAGCAAAGTTGATTCAGTAACAAGATTGAGAGGGTATTGGAATGTTAAGATTAACAGTTATTTTTGAGTTGAACTTCAAGTGCGCATATCAACGATTTAATTATTTATTTGCTATGAAAGTCCTGTGAATGATATTTTTTAGGAGCGGAAGAGAAACTGAATTTAGTATCCAGAAGAATGGTGGGTTGGCTGTGCCATACGCTCACTAGCCCAAAGCACGCACATCACGCTTAAGCATATAAGCAGAAAAGTCGCCTACACAGTAGCATGTACGTACTGTGTAATCCCGGATGTTAGCCCGGATGTTAGATTCGCCACTGACGTTTTGTTCGCTTAAGTTAGGTTAAAGTGCAGTAAGTCGCTAGAATTTCCCTCTTCCAATTGAAAGGGAGAGAGTACCTTGAAATAGGTCGAATTGTGACTCGCTGTGATGCGACCCAAAGGGCGTCGCGCGGTGGGCGACGTATGGCAAGCAGCCCGTCCTCACGACTCGGGATTTTTCTCTCATTAGGACTCGCCATTCAAACAATCTCTTCAACCTCCTTCATTAGCAGTATGAAATTCAAACCGAAGAAAAATATTTAATTAATTGTAAATATGTTATGTAGGATCCTTCCTGGCTATCCTAAGTAATTATATATCATTTTTATAGTTTTTTTTAGTTGTAAAAAAATATTGCCATTGATCTTGTCCTTGAAAGACATTTGTACGTTGAACTAGTTGAATAAATAATATTAAAAAAAGTACTCGGGATTCGTTGTGATTAGCGTCTGACTCAATTTTATTCCAGAAATCTATTTTTGTGGGTCGGCTTCTGTTTCTCAGATAAAATTTCGTAAGACTTGAAGCGTTCATACGTAATACTTATTTACCTTTACGTCTTTTCGGAATGATGTCTAAAAAATGTTAAAGTATAAGAATAAATTAATAGGAATGGTGAGAATGAAAGGGTCTAAGTAGTTTCATTTAATTTAATTTGTAGTGAGTTATTTATCGTTTTCAATGCGCTAAAAGGCACAGAATATTACTACATATTATTATTAGGTTGATTATCAGAGCATAGATTTTTAAGTTTTATTTTCTATCTGTTCAATACACTGACTATACAGACTTGTATGTCTTAATACTAGAACTGAGTTACGGCATAGACAGGAGTTCATTTAGTCAAAGCTCCCTGTTACTTAGTTACGTTTCTCTTAATTTAGTGTTTGGAATTTCTTTTTAAATTTTGAATTTGTAACATTCTATTGTTTAAAGTCATGTTTTAATGTCATGTTTGAGTGTTTAACAATCCTTTAAATTCAATTTGCATTCTAATTGAAGTGTTTATCTATGGTGGGCGTAGTTCATCCTTGGGGTATCTTTAATTAACATGTATATCTTATGCTGAACGTTCTATATTAAAGTTTTAACACATTCCACCTTTGGTAGTTCTTCAAAAATTTTTACTGATAAAGTCTTCTAATGTAAGTATTCAAGTTTTCTATTTTCAGTTCGTTTCTAATTTGCCTATTTGACACGTACCATTGTGCTTTAATTATGCGTCTTAAAGCATTACTTTGAACTACTCTACGTTCCTTTAGGTGGCTCTACTCCATACAGGGCAAGCATAGTAAGAAATGGAGTGTAATGTCAATAAAGTTATTCCACATTCTATGGTTAGTCTTGAGTGGCAATTTATGAGTGGATATAGTTTTGCTATTTTGATGAATTGTTTTATTGGCTATTTCTTTAATATTTTTCCACGTTAGATTTTGATCTAGAAGTACTCATAAATATGTCACTTATTGATCTTTTTTACCCATTTTAAATTTACATTTTTAATTATTAGTGGTTTGGGCATTTTAAGTCTTCGTAGCGTAAAAATCTGCGGTTGTGATTTAGAAGAGTTTATTTTTACTTGCCATTTTGAGCACCAACTTATAAATGCATCTAATGAGTTTTGTAAAATGCCTTCACTTGGATCTACATCTTCGTTGTGAGCAGCACTGTGTCGTCCGCGAAAAAAGAAACGCAGATATGAAGGCCCATTCACAGTGCAAACATAAACATAAGCACGGCGTTAACATACAAGTTAGGTCTACGTCCATAAGCGGATTCATTCACAATGCGTTCGCATAAGCATAACACGTAAGACATTACTTAAAAGCTTGCAAGCTTCAAGCATCTGTGCTTATGCTTACGTAAGACATAACAAATGAACCAATTACAGAACGGAAACTCAAAATCGAGAATCGAAATTAGAGCGAAGCCGATAGAAGAACTGACGCCATATGGGACATAGTCACAGTCGATATCATGCTCACAACCAACCAGAAAGTCTTACAGTCAATAGAAACGTATTTTGCTTACGTTTATGTTAGACATTGTGAATACTTCAGTCTACCACTTATGTTAATGTTTATGTCTATGCGCTATGCTTATGTTTACGTTTGCATTGTGAATGGGCCTTAACGAGGCTGTAGCATTAAAGCATGCGTAATTAAGAATTTCATGGAATGAAACGTTGTGTTCCGAAAGCTGGGGTAAAGTGTGTAAGACGTTTGCTTTTTCCTGTTGGTGCCCTGCGTGGTGCTCACCAGGCCGCTGGCGCTGCAGTTCTGCGCGTAGAGCCACTGGCCGTCGTTGAGGCAGACGCCGTTGGCGGCGCACGTGGAGTCGCAGCGCCACTGGCCCGCCAGGCCCGCGCAGTCGGGGGCGGCGCGCGGGGCGGCGCGCTGGTGGCGCCGCCCGGTTTGGCGCCGCCCGGCCGGGTCCACAGCGAAGACGCCGCGCGTCGCCCTTACGGCTCGCGGCGGCAGACGCCGACAGGCGCGCCCGACGGCTCCTCGGCAGCGCGCTCCGGCCACCGCACGCGCGCCCCGCTTCGGCGGCCCTACGCCTCCTCCACGGCCACCATGCGCACCCACACACGCGGCCGCTCAGCGTAGGACAGGGAAGAGTCGCGCGCGCGCGCCGTTGCCCATTTGCTACGGTACTGCTCCGGCATTCGCCTGTTGTTGATCGGAGAAACGATCGATCAGATCATCCCGCCTCTTTTTTTTTTTCATGCCTCGTAATTTTTTTGTCTAACAGCATTAGAAATTAATAATAAAATCTAACTTAATTTTGGGACGACTCGGGTATTTGACACCCATCCCAGAAAACGGTGGTTGGCTGTTCTCTACCTCCCCGCTACGGTTGGTTGAATGTGTGATGTCGCAATCATTCGTGTCGTAAAATCTAACACATCATTTGTGCAATAATATGCCCAATTACGATCGAGTTCTTGCAACACAAAAGGTCGATTATAATGCTGGTAAAAAAAATATCCGTCAGTAAAAATATTTATTTGTAACGACATATACTTTATTTAGGTTATAATTTTGTTTTCTTTTCGTATTGACACAACGGTTTATTTATAATTATTAGTTCACGTTAACATTTAATTATAATTAAATGTGATCGTGGGCGTGAATGAAATATTTAAAATAATATTCGCTTTATTGATATAATATTAGGGGAATGGCGCAAATCGCAAACCGCAAACCAATTGTGTTTTGAACCATAAAACTCTTCCCCCATTTTTTGAAGGCCACGGTTATCTGTTGGCCTTCCCATGAACTCTTTTATCTTTGTATGAATCTCGAGTGTTATGTGTGATGGACTATCACGAAATGTGACCACACGTTAATTAACACATTTCAGTTTCATGCCTCTTGGATGCGTGCGCGCGCGAGCGTGGGGGGGGGGGGATGCGTGGGAAGGATTGTCATGGCTCAGCCGTGATAGAAACAGTAGTAGCACATAATAAATGACACTCATTAGGAAGACGTTAAAACTCACCTCAATAACACATTGCGATTACATTGTAGAGAGAACTAGTTCGATTTTCCGTAAAAAGCCAGCACTGAAACTCGAGATACGAAAACAACAATATCCTGAATAAACATCACCAAACAGCGTCAGCGTTGTCAGAAAGGTTCTGGTGCAAGTATATACTATCAATACACTGTATAAAATATTCACGAAAACTTTCCTCTGGAAATATTAATTGATGTTGTTCAACACCAAACATGAAACTTTTGAGGGATAATTACGTTGCAAATAATTACGGCCACAATTTGATTTAGTATAAGAATAACGCTGCTAATTTCCTGTTTTTCACGTTTCTAGGTGGAATAGAAACATCTCCCAAGGTTGTGCCGTGGCATAAGCATACCGATCAAGTATTTTTTGCGCTTCTTATAATTCTGCTCACATTAACACAAAATATCTCACTTTTGATGAAAGTGTTCTGTTTTTGCGCCCCTTAAAGAAAATTAAATCTTACCTGTAAGGTGACAGCCAGGACAAACATCACCGTCGCACCAAACGCCATTGTGCATTCGCAAAGTTCGTAGCAATGTCGTCGTGTGTGCAGGCGCTTGACTTTCGCTGATAAGAAATGAATATTGAGATAAGTGAGACAGATGACCATACGTATTGCATAACGGTCAAAATATTGTCGATTCGATTGCGGAATAGATTTTAGGATTGTTACATTTAATATTTCCATGCTATTAAAGATATGTTAGCCCCAAGCATTTCAAAGTTTAAAAATCGTGGAAGTCATGAATTTAATGTAGTCAATAATCATATTTGTAATTCCCTCGGTTCCGATTTCTTCAAAAGAGAATTATTTTAACGTGATTATAATAATATCATGTCACTAAAACACCTACAATTAATGTAAGTATTACTTGTCATTTCCACGTCAGCTCATTAATATTCAGTGAATCCAACTATTCACAAGCCACTTGGAACACTAGGGCTCAAAATAAGTTTTAGGTTTCATCTTTTTGACTGTGTTCCCTGGGATAGAAATGGGATGAGAAAGTAAAAAAACACTATGTTGTTGGTAATGTCTTTCCTAAATGTAAATCATGGATCAATTTTGTGATAACTCATATTTATTTTTCCAATAATTCAGTTAAACAACTTCATGTTTCGCCTTCTGATTTCGACATCACTTCCAGAAAATTCTCACATTGTCCAGATACACACATTCCTTCCGTAATATCAAAATGGGCACCTTCATTGCAGACAATTTGAAGGTATTCGCCATCAGGCTGACAGAAGAAATAGTTACAATTTGTGCTCGGGTTAGGATACGCAGATCCTGCTTTGCACTGATTGGAATCGACCGTTGTCGTAGGAGTACTTGACTCAGAGGTCGTACTAGGGGTGGGGGTGGGAGTGGGAGTGGGAGTGGGAGTGGTGACGGTTCCATCTTCGTTGCGCTTGCAGCCAGGCACGTCCAAGTCCACGCACCGAAGGAGTTGCGTGTCGAAGTGCCCCAGTTCACAACGGCTCCAACGCAGTTCAGTGCCGTCTGCTGTCGCCACACACGTGTAGTACAGCCTGGAACACAAGGCTCTGTTATCTCCGTTTCTCTGTAGTCTCTCTTTCTCTAGACCCTTTGAACCCGCTCTTCTACGAAGTGTCTCATCCCGTAATGCAGATTCTCAAACTGTTTAGAGACCAGTTAGACTCTCCTCATAATGTCTCAAACTTGAATTCGCATTGCAGTGGCATTTCCCCCGTGACTCGCCTGTCGTTGCCGGGCGCGACGCCGAAGAGGCCGGGGCGCGCGCACGCGGCGCCGGGCGCCACCTGCCACGCGCAGGCGCCGCCCGCGGCCGCGGCGAGCACGTCGCAGCGCCCGGTGCACGCGTCGAAGCGCGCGCCGGCCGGACAGCTGCGCGTCACGCCCTCGCCCTCGCCCGCGCACTCCACGTAGCGCGAGCAGTCGTCCAGCTGCGGGAAGGCGCCCTGGGCGAAGCAGCCCACCGCCGCGCCGCCGCGTCCACGCACGCGCCCTCCCAGCACACCTGCGCACGCCGCGCCGCGCCGCGCCGCGCCGCGCCGCGCCACGCCGTTGCCGGACTGCGCTCTGATGGGGAAGGGGGCGGCCGTGTCTGCGTAGGGATCGTGTCTGCCCCCCCCCCACCGGGGAGCGGGGTCGTGTGTGCGTAGGTGGGCACTGTCTCTGGTGGAGACTACACGGACCCTTAAATGAAGTCGGAGGCTTCCGCGGACGGAGTCATGTGAATGATCCGTGTGAAGCCGCGTCGAAGGCTGTGTTGCCGACCAGCCCTGTGAAGCAGACCAGCCCTGAGGAAGACCACGATAAGATGGTCGAAGCGTCGGCAACACAGCCTTCGACGCAGCGTCTCCCGGACAGCCGAGATCATTCACACGGCCCCTTACTTTCAAGGCGGCACTCACGTCGTTAGCTTCAAGGAGGAAGGCGATGTTCAAGCTCCTGGTTGTCGGTTCAACCCGGTAACCTATCAGTTGGTCACTTGGCGCGGCGCCCTTTGAGCAGGATTGGGTGAAGGAGATTGCCTGGTTGCGGGGGAATCCACGTATAGAGTCCGGCGTGAAAATTTATACCTCCCGTCAGGTTGCCCCGGATTTGGCGAACTCACGTCAATATGCAGTGTCTGACAATGAATGGACGGAAGGAGGGCTCCCAGTCCCTAGAACACTAGTTCGGCTGGCCCCCAGTTAAGCACTTGGCTTCGTTGTGACAGTGGCCCAATACTCTCGGCTGAGAGGAGGCACTTGTCCCAGCGCATGTGAGTGGTGCGATGTCACACGACATGACTCCGGTACTAGCCTGTATATCGAGGATCTCTGAGCTGGCAGAGCGGCACCACGCGGGCATTGAATGGGAAGGTTGCCGAGAGGGCGTACTGAGTCCCGGCCGGCTCCGGATATTGGCCGTACTTGTACAGCGCGGGGGTGCGGATAGTGGCTAGCGTTAACCCTGGGGACTTGCGCCCCCTAATATAAGAAGAGAGACAAAAACACTGTTGAAGAAGGGATTGGAAGAGAGTACTCTACAAATACTAAAGGGTTCGGTGACACGGGTTCACTTTTTTCGTAACATCGTACTGTACTGTTTAATCGACTTATCGCAACTAGAGAAACAAAAAGTATCTTTAACAGCGGGCGTCGGTTAAGGATTTTAACAGTTCGCCGTTCGTTTCTTGTAAAACATGAATAGTATTACAAGTATATCGTCGCGACCGAGAACACTAATAGATTTGGTTGGATATGAACATTAACTATTACTCGTATTTCGTGTTTATTAACGTGCTTAATATATGTTATATCGACGTTATTATATATTATTACGCGTTAGTTCACGTTAATAATCGCGCTGTAAATTTGTACGCTTCATTTTCTCACAATTTAAATTTTGTTTTTACTTAGACCTTGTACTACAAATGTAAACTACGTTAACTATATTATGTGAATGATGTCTTTAAGCGAATACAAAACATACGTAGTACGATATTCAAGCTTTTCGAAACAGATGGTTCAGGTGGTCTCTCGTGTACGGTACGAGGATCGCCACAAAGGATGTGATAATTGTAATGGTCTGGCGTGCATATTGTTATTATAGGGATATGTTAAAGATGATACAAGTAGACAGTAATAACACGAAGCGTGATGGTTTTACATCGCGTTATCGCATCAACGTGTAGCATATGCCTGAAACGAATTTGAGCTGCGCATTGAAGCTGCCCCACCTGGCCTTCCTTTGCGCAGTGCCGCACCGCCAACCAGCGGCCGCCCGCGACGCACACTCCCAGCGCGCTGCACCCGCCGCACACCAGCTCTCCCTCGCGCGCGCAGACTGGCGCCTCGGAGCCGCCTCCCTGCGCATTGCAAGCAGAGCGATTTCCTCTCAAGATTTGCCACCAAATCTAAAACCAGCCGTGGCTTTTGCAGATCCAGAACACGAGTG